CAATGTAAACACTGCCTTTTCTCTGAAATGTCAGTGTTTACGTTGAAAAGCCTGTAGGGACATGCTATAGACACCAGTACCACCACATTAAGCTGTGTGTGTGCGTCTGCTAGTGAGTTAGCTTGCTTGCATGCGTGTGCCTGCTAGTGAGTGAGCTTGTGTTTTTATGTCAATGAGCTGATGTACATCAGTAAAATTGTTTGTCTATGAGGCTGTGTATCAATGAGCTTGTGTGTGTCATAGAGATGTCAGTGAAATTGCCTATGTCTGCATATGAGTATGCTTACTGTATAATTAAACATTTTACCCTGAAAGGACCAATATTTTATATTAGAAAAAACAATATATATATAATATATATTACTTAATCATCTGTCCTGGCAAGACATAGCCTTACATATTACACGCGACAATATATGGCGCAGTAACTTATGGGGCTGGCACATTTTTTTTTTTTTTTTCAGGGCTGCTTTGTATCCCCAGTCCGGCCCTGGTTCCAGTATGATCTCTGGAAGTTATGCCTTTGTCAAGGTTCTGATTTGATTATATCAATTTGGTTTTAAATTTTATATCAGAATGACATTATCCTTCTCTAGCTTATGCTATCATGGCCTTAATTCCTATCTGGCTCTCTATATTTATTCAGGATATTTCAGATTTTGAATGCCAGGAGGTTGCTGACCTTGCAGCCTCTAGGGGAAATTGTCTTGTCTGAGCAGATTTTATGACAATTTCCTATTGATTCTTGTTTGGCTTTGTAACATTTTCTAAAATTAGCTCAATAATGAATTTATAGCTATTAGCTGTTTTTGAACTCTGTCCCTCCCTCTATATATACTGCTTGGGTATTCCCCATGAGTAAATTCTGCCATGAGTAATGATCAGGAAAATGGAAAATTGCTTCATACTTACCGTAATTTTCTTTTCCTGATCATTATTCATGGCAGCATTACGTTCCCACCCATATACTATAGGAGTTGTGAAGCTAGTTATGAAGACTGGCTGATTGGAAGGGGGATGCTCTATTTATACCAGTTTCAAAGTTCTATTTCCTGTTAAGGGGAGGAGCTAACCCATGAGTAAATGCTGCCATGAATAATGATCAGGAAAAGAAAATTACGGTAAATATGAAATGATTTTCCATTATAATATGCGCACACATATAATACATGTGTATATATGTATTTGTGTGTGTGTGTGTATATATATATATATATATATATACGGTCTTTTCCATGCTCCGGTGCAAGTAATCTCTGACCAATATATAGCATCCAAGTAGAAAGCACTCTGGAGTCTTCGTTTTATATCAAAATAAATACTGCTTTATTGTGCAGAATACAAAAATGTTGACGTTTCAGTCACAATAGACTTTTCTCAAGTCTTGAGAAAAGTCTATTGTGACTGAAACGTCGACATTTTTGTATTCTGCACAATAAAGCAGTATTTATTTTGATATAAAACGAAGACTCCAGAGTGCTTTCTACTTGGATGCTATATATTAGATATATATACACACACACACACTTATTTCCTATATATGTATAATATATTATAATTAAAGCATTTTATAATATAGTATACATACATATATATACATATATATATATATATATATATATATATTAATTATAAGTTTACTTTGAGATATATACACCTATAATGAAATCATAAATATATATATATATATATATATATATATATATAATTTCACACATATGTATGTGTGTATATATAATACACTGCTCCAAAAAATAAAGGAAACACAAAAATAACACATCATTTTGTTCTTTACATAGCTGAATGTGCTGACAACAAATTCACACAAAAATTAAAAAATGGAAATCAAAATTTTCAACCCATGGAGGTCTGGATTTGGAGTCACACTCAAAATTAAAGTGGAGAAACTCTACAGGCTGATCCAACTTTGATGTAATGTCCTTAAAACAAGTCAAAATTAGGCTCAGTAGTGTGTGTGGCCTCCACGTGCCTGTATGACCTCCAACGCCTGTGCATGCTCCTGATGAGGTGGTGGATGGTCTCCTGAGGGATCTCCTCCCAGACCTAGACTAAAGCATCTGCCAACTCCTGCACAGTCTGTGGTGCAATGTGACGGTGGATGGAGTGAGACATGATGTCTCAGATGTGCTCAATTGGATTCAGGTCTGGGGAATGGGCGGGCCAGTCCATAACATCAATGCCTTTGTCTTGCAGGAACTGCTGACACACTCCAGCCACATGAGGTCTAGCATTGTCTTGCATTAGGAGGAACCCAGGGCCAACCGCACCAGCACAAGGGGTCTGAGGATCTCATCTTGGTACCTAATGGCATTCAGGCTGCCTCTGGCAAGCACATGGATGGCTGTGCGACCCCCCAAAGAAATGCCACCCCACACCATTACTGACCCACTGCCAAACCGGCAGGGCCGGACTGGCCCACCGGGATACCGGGAAATTTACCGGTGGGCCATCGGCACCTGGGGCCGGGGAGATATCTTGGTGACCTGCGGCTGCAGGGGGAGCTGGCTGTTCTGTCTCTCCTCCCCAGTGCGCAGCTTAATGAGGCCGGGGCCTCGAGGGCGGGGGAGCAGAGACGGAACAGCTAGCTCTCCCTGCGGCTACCATTACAGCCAGGAGCCAGCTCCCCCCTGCGGCCGCCAGAACAGCCAGCTCACCCCTGCGGCCACCAGACCTGTGTCATGCTGTGTGTGTGTGTCTGTCTGTCATGGTGTGTGTCTGTGTCATGGTATGTGTGTGTCTGTCTGCCATGGTGTGTGTGTGTCTGTCTGTCATGGTGTGTCATGGTGTGTCTGTCTGTGTGTCATGGTGTGTGTGTGTGTCTGTCATGGTGTGTGTGTGTGTGTGTCTGTGTCATGGTATGTGTGTGTGTCTTTGTCATGATGTGTGTGTGTGTGTCTGTCTGTGTCATGGTATATGTGTCTGTGTCATGGCATATGTGTGTGTCTGTGTCATGGTCTTTCTGTGTGTCAAGGTGTGTGTATGTCTGTCATGGTACATGTGTGCCTATCAAGGCGTGTGTGTGTGTGTGTGCCTGTCATGGTATATGTGTGTGTGTCTGTCATAGTATATGTGTGTGTCTGTCGTGGTGTGAGTGTGTCATGGTGTCTATGTCTTAAAAATAGTGGTTTTGTAGTGGAACACCAATTTTAAATCAACAAATTCCGCTGGTTCAGGAAGTAATCCACAGTCAAGCGCTGGAAAAAGCAAGGCAATATTCCAAATCTCCCAGTAACCGGATGAAACACAGTTCTGAGAGTCAACTGAGGTCTTTATTTTCAGCTCCACAATTTATACAAGTCCCCATGGGCATTCCCAGAGGGGACTACATGGGGGACTTACTGTACAGGACATTTCTCCCATCAGGCACTACTGCATGAGAGGGATCCTCCCACAGGAATGTACCGTTAAGTGAATTATCCCTCCGTGCAGCAGAACCGACAATTTATATTAAAATGCATAACTGTGGTAATATACGGTCCATTTGCATGAATGGACGTTCGGTAGATAGCTGGGGTCTGAGCGCATCATTCGTGAGATTACCGCTCAGATCCCAGCTAAAACAACCGAACGCCGCACGAAAAACATATTTATTAAAACACATGTTCAAAAGACCGATTGCATGCTGGGGAACATAATACCGAACGGCCTGGAACTCCCGAACGGCCTGGAAGCTCAGCGGTGTTCGCGCAGTCGAGTAGCCGTTTTTAGTACCATGCGCTCGACGACCAAACACTGCTGAGGGAACAAAGGATCCAAGATGGCCGACCGCCGCATGGTCGGTAGTAGAACGACGGCAACCTTGGAGAGCCTCTAATTACCAATTGCAACATTGTTGCAAACAGTTAACAAGCGCCACACGTCTCAACCATGGCATACTAAATCAACGCGCTACCTGCAAAGATGCTCCCGGTGTGCTGAACGCTCCTGGAGGAAGTCTCGCACCCAGTCAGACTTTCTCCATTATAGATTCATACTGTGTTCATACAGTGCAGCCCTTGCCCTTGCCAAACAGTCCTATTTTTCTCTCATTAGTTCATGTTCCTGCAACCCCAGGCGTCTCTTTGACACCTTTAATTCTCTTCTTCGCCCCGCTGTGGCCACCCCCCAAACCAACCTTACTGCTGATAACTTTGCATGTTACTTCACTGACAAAATTGAACAGCTAAGGAAAGAATTCTCCCCTCCTTGCATTTCTGTTTCTCAATCACACATTGATCATGCCTTTCCTACCATTCAGACATTCTCCCCAGCCACTGACCAAGAGGTGGCTGCTCTTCTTTGCTCCTCTCGCCCCACCACTTGCCTGCTCGATCCTGTCCCGTCTCACCTTATCAGATCTCTCTCCGCTTGTCTCGTGCCTTCTCTAACACACATCTTCAACTGCTCGCTCTCTTCTGGCATCGTCCCTGCTGACCTTAAACATGCCACTGTAGTAACTATACTAAAAAGACCATCCCTTGACCCATCCACCCCCTCTAACTACCGTCCCATATCCCTGCTCCCTTTTTCCTCAAAGCTTCTGGAAAGACTCGTCTTTACCCGTGTGTCTCATTTCCTCAATTCCAACTCTCTCCTTGACCCCCTTCAATCTGGCTTCCGCCCTCTCCACTCTACAGAGACTGCCCTTATCAAAGTTACTAATGACCTAATCGCAGCTAAATCCAAAGGCCACTACTCCATACTAATTCTTCTTGACCTCTCGGCGGCCTTTGACACCGTTGATCATGCTCTCCTTCTTCAAACTCTGCAATCGCTTGGTCTCTGTGACTCTGTCCTCTCCTGGTTTCCCTCTTATCTCTCCTAATACTGATCCTCCTCCTTCATTCTCCCTTCAAGTTTGTGGTACCAACATCAGCCCATCCTTGCAAGCGTGCTGTCTTGGCGTCATACTTGACTCTGGTCTCACCTTTGAGCCTCACATCCAGCATGTTGCCAAATCCTTTAGATTCCATCTTAAAAACATAGCCCGCATCCGCCCCTTTCTTGCACCAGATACTACCAAGGAGCTTGTCCATGCTCTAATAATTTCCCGCATGGATTATTGTAACCCTCTCCTGCTTGGTCTTCCCAAAAGCCGTACTGCACCCCTACAGTCTGTAATGAATGCTGCTGCTAGACTGATTTTCCTCTCTAGTCGGTTCTCTCACACCTCACCCCTCTGCCAGTCCTTACATTGGCTTCCTGTGTGCTATAGGAGTCAATTCAAGGCACTAACTCACACCTATAAAGCACTGAACAACTCTAGCCCCTCCTATATCTCCTCACTGATCCACAGGTATGTCCCTTCTCGGTCTCTCCGCTCTGCCCGTGACCACCTCCTGTCCGTTGTCCGCACCCGTACGGCCAACTCGCGCTTGCAGGACTTCTCGCGGGCGGCTCCCTTCCTATGGAATAGCCTGCCTACCGCCATCCGACTCTCCCCTAGTCTTGCATCTTTTAAGAAGTGCCTTAAAACCCATCTCTTTAGGAAAGCCTATGGCCTCCAAGACTAACCCCTACCTCACATACCCGTCTCTTGCCCTCTCCTAAAGGGCAGCCCACCTTTTTTTGATTGCACATTCCTGTCCTAATGTGTCTTACACCCCACCTCCTATAGAATGTAAGCTCGATTGAGCAGGGTCCTCTTCAACCTATTGTTCCTGTAAGTTTATTTGTAATTGTCCTATTTATAGTTAAATCCCCTTTCATAATATTGTAAAGCACTACGGAATCTGTTGGCGCTATATAAATGGCAATAATAATAATAATAATAGTGTGTGGGCTATTAAATGATAGTTCATTCGGTTCACGAACGGCCCGCAAAGGTGCCGTTCATGAAACGAAAGGAAATCAGCTATCTGCTTTCGGCAGATAGCCAATGCAGGCAATACAGCGTTACACAATCACATTACATTATACTCTGGCACACACATATCACAAAAATCATACAGGCAACCCTTAAAGCGACAGTACTTAAATAATGTCCAAGTGGCTAGGTTTGCCACAGGTTTTACTCACCTTTTTTTTCCCAATGTCGTGCTGGTCTCCCCGCGACTCTATAGCTGAGATCATCAAGCTTGATGATCTCAGCCAATCCGAACTGACACAGGAAGCACTTCTAGTGACTGTCTGAGTGTCTGTCACTAGAGGTGTCACTAGGAAGCAATGTAAACACTGCCTTTTCTCTGAAAAGTCAGTGTTTACATTGAAAAGCCTGCAGGTACAGGCTATAGACACCAGAACCACTACATTAAGCTGTGTGTGTTTGCGCATCTGCTAGTGAGTGAGCTTGCTTGCATGTGTTTGTGTGTGCCTGCTAGTGAGTGAGCTTGTGTTTTTATGTCAATGAGCTTATGTATATCAGTGAGATTGTTTGTCTATGAGGCTGTGTATCAATGAGCTTGTGTGTGTCAGTGAGATTGGTGTGTGCATGTGAGTATGCTTACTGTATAATTATACTGTATACTATACTATATTGTTTTACTCTGAAAGGACCAATATTTTATTTTAGAAAAAGCATTTGTGCTCGGAATTTAAATACGTAATGGATAGTATCTGTGAGCAAAGTTGGTTGTGGTGTGCCGAAACCAACGTACGAGTGGGCCTGTAAATAAAAGAGGGCCCACCAAGGATAATGTAGTTAAAACAGGGTGTAGGTGGGTGGGGACAATCAGCTGAGCGGCAGTGGTGAGTAGGGGCTGGGAGTTTAAGTAGGGGACTTACTCCTCCCACAAATTCAGGCCTAATGGCCTTTCTACTTGTGCTCAGAATTTAAATACGTAAGCAAATGTATCTGTGAGCAAATGTGGTTGTGGTGTGCCGAAACCAACGTATGAGTGGGCCTGTAAATAAAAGAGGGCAAAAGATAAATTTGAGAAAATACACACTTTATTGCATTTTACAAGACCAAGTTCCTGAAAGCTTGGCGAAGCTCTTTCTCCGGTTGTGGAATATATGCGTTATATATGGAGTATTTCCATCGCCCCAGCCTTTTGATGATGTGGACCGGTGCGTTTGTGCTAAAGGCTGCTGAGGCGGCTCCTATGCGGAAGGAGTGCCCGGAGAATGCAGCCGGGTTGTGTCCGAGCTTAGATAACAGGGTTCTGACATGTAACATCAATTTTGCCGTGGTAAGCGGGTGCCCTTGTAATGTTAAGAGCGGAGAGTCTGGCAGGTGAGTGTGAAGAGTTGACCGTAGTTGGTCGAGAACTTTCACCGGACACCAGGCATTATCAGTAGGGAAGAGAGGAATTATTGTAGGGTGTATTGACCGGTTGGTTTTAGTGGTAGGGATAGAAAGTAGGTAGTGATCCTCTATCTTGGTGAGGTGTGAAGTTTTAAGGCTTAGCGCGATATCTCCTTGACAAACCACGGTGAACTCTCTAGGTCTGAGGAAACCATAGAAAGCGAGATATATAGCAGATTTGATCACCGTATTGGTGTTGCTATCAAATGGGGCTGTGTCAAGGAGATTGCTAAGTGACCTGAAGATAGGCCCGTCTATGGGTAATCTAGTGCTTGTGAGTGGAGGTGAAACCTTTGATATACCTTTCAAGACCTTTTTAATGGGGTATGAAGACAAAAAAGGAGTGCTGTTAGGAAAATTGGTGAGGCTGTGGTGCTGAACCCCGGTGAGGTAAAGTTTAATGGTGTTGTGCGACAGATTAAGGTGTAGGTGGCAGAAAGAGGCAAAAGACACCATGGTTTGGATAGAAAAGTCACCTTGTAGCCCGAATTCTGCAGTGAATTTGTTAAATATGTTAAGTGCCCTATTGTAAGTGATAGCAGTGTTGGGTGATAACGCTTGGTGAGTGAGTGATCTAGCGTGAAGCAAGAGTGTGCTTAATCCAAGATTAGTTCGTGAAACCGTGGTGTCCTGGATGGATGTTGGTGAGCCGTTGGGAGTGCCTGAGAAAATGCCTGGAATCAAGAACGAGAAAGAGCGTCAGCGGTGGTGTTGTGAATAGCCGGGATGTGAGAACATACTAAGTGAAACTGATTGGATGCTGCCAGCCAGGTCAACTTGCAAATCAGCCGCATGATGGTCAGGGATGATGAGCGCCCTTTGTTAATGATATCGCAAGCTGCCGAGTTATCTGAGTAGCATTTTACTGCCTTGCCGGACCAGAGATGACCCCAGGTGTGTGCGGCCACCACAATGGGGTAAATTTCAAATAGGGCTGAGATCTCCCTGAATCCTGGCAAGGCGTCCGTCTCAGTGGGCCAGTGGCCCCTAAACCAGTGGTTCCCGAAAATGGCTGCGAAACCGGTGTTGGCTGCTGCGTCTGTGTGGATGATGGGTGAAGAGGTGGAGAGAGGGGGGATAAACATGGAGATACCATTCCAGTTTGTCGTGGGGAAGGCTAGCTCTGAGTTTGACAGAGTTGAGCTCTATGCCTAAAAAGGTCAACTTTGTTGTGGGTCCTATAGTTTTGGCTGGGGACAAAGGGACTCCAAGTGTGGAAAATAGTGCGGTAGTACTTTTGATTGCTGTGGGTGTTGATGACCCTGGCTCTATCAGTAGAAAGTCGTCTAGATAGTGAATAACGGAGTGACACCTGATGACGTTCAGAAGCAGCCAGCATAGTGACTCTGCGAAAATGTCGAAAAGTTTGGGGCTGCTTCGAGAACCGAAAGTGAGTCGTGTTGAGAAGTAATAATTCCTTCGCCATTTAACACCGTGTAAGTGCCAGAGTGAGGGGTGTATGGGCAGTAATTTAAAGGCGTTAGTGATGCCTGTTTTGCTGAGCCAGGGTCGATTACCAGATGTAATGATGGACTGTATGGCGTCGTCGATGGTAACATACTGAAGTGAGAATTTGTCTGCTTGAATGAGTGTGTTTATGCTTGGAACAAAAGAGGAGTGCGGTGCCGATAAATCGATAATAAGAAGTTTTTTATTAGAATATTTGTGAATAGCAATACCAATAGGGTTAGTGCGCCAGGAGGAAAACGGTGAAGAGGTGAAGGGACCGATCATAAAACCGTTAGTGGTTTCTGCGGAAATGAGAGTGTCTACAGCGATTGGGTCTAAACGTGCAGACTGGAGATTAGGACATTCTAGTGTACCTGGGGGGTATAGCCGTGGTAGAGACTGGGACTTCGGTGTTAGTACCTGAGGAGGAGATGGCGCTCTCCACCTTAGACAGCCTGCTATTGAGGGTCTGTAGATTGGCCAAGATATCTGCCAGGGTATCCTGGGTGGCCATGCTGTTTCTTGGTGTTTGTCCTTGAGAGCTAGTTCCCGGCCTAGGCTCGGGGACTTGGTGGGTAAGCAGCCTGTAAAGTTCTGCCTTTCTAGCTGTGGCCGGAAAGGGGATTCCCCTGAGCCTAAGCTCGGCCGTGATTTTGGGAATAGTCCATGCTCTCAAGGACGTGGGGGTTGAAAGAGTGAGTGATTCGCCTGGAGACACGGGTCTGATTGGCGTGAATGGTGTTTCTTCTGTCAGTTCTTCAGTTGGAATTAGTTCTTGGGACATTCTAAAAAGGAATGATTATGTGAAAGATATATTAGAAGGGGAGTGAGGTAAGTAGGGGGGTATGGGGAGTGGTGTATCTGGAAGAACTGGACTGTAATGCTAGATGCCGAGGCGAAAAACTTAACTATTGAATGACTGGATAGGTGAGGCCCTGCTAATGCCAAGTGGCGGTGAGAGGCTCTACCTATGATTTGGCTTATGACGTAGGTGCCACAGACGTGGTGGCGGGATGTTGGCCTCTCGGTGACGATAAGAGAAATCAAAACATGTGGCCGTGACAGGTGAGGCCCTAACTAGAGCCCTGTAGTAGGGCATGCGAGGCTTATAACTATGGTTTGGGCGTGGGGCCGTACCTCCGTGTTGAGGTGGGGTGGGGGTGATAGGCCTCGCGGGATCGGATTTCCTGATAGGGTGGGCTAAGGCATTAGCCTGTGCCCTATAGCCAGTTCGATTGTATGCTTAAGGGTAAAGTGAGAGGACTGGAGTGGTGTGTGGATACTAACCTTGACTGGTCGCAAATGGTATCTGGAGCCTCCTGATAAGTGTAGAGAGTCTTGTCTTAATGCTGTCTTTGAGGAAGAATCCTGGGGGTTTAAGACAGATGTTGATGTATTTATACGTATCGTGATGTCGTATGAATAGTATTGGGAGAAGGTTTGTTAGGGGCGCCACGTGAGATCCTGCATTGAGGGATCTGGGAGGTTTAGGTGTAGGAATGGGATGATTTTAGATATAAGTGAGAAGGCAGAATGAGGCCTTGGGGTAGCGAATGGACGTACTTGAGTAAGGACGTAAGTACCTGAAGGTATGGCTGAGTAGCGGGTCAGGTTTTGGTGTTTTCTGAGCCTGATGGCCGTACGACCGGATGTCTGTGTAGACAAGTAGTAAAGAAATAACATATCGTGGGCGTAAGCCTGAGGAAAGGTAGTAATGGAGTTGAGACCGCGTGAGGTCTAGTATTGAAAAGAGAGTGAACTATACCTTGGTTTTGAAGTACAGAGATTATGTTTAATCGTGGCAGGTTAACTGCGTAGAATCGGTGGAAGCTTAGACTAATACAGGATCTAAGGGTTTAACCAAAGACAATTTCCATATTTAGCGATAGATGTGAAGATAATTGATAAAAACCTGATAACTCAAAGTGATAATATACCATACCTGTTCCTGTAATAAAAGGACCTTGAAATAACAACTTTAGCGCAGAAAAGCAAGAGACCGATGCAATCTGTAAAAGCCAAGATATGTGACAGCGTGATTTATGTGAAAGGAATAGTACGGATTATGTGTAATGGGTATTACTTGTATGTAGTGTTTAAATGACTTATAACTGAGTGTTTTTTGGAAAGAATGGTATTGCTTGTATTAGACACGTATGAAGGTATGAACCATGGTTAAAACAGTATGTTTATTACAGAAAAATACGTGAATCGGTTATCAAAGGTAGGAAAAACACAAGGCTGGTAGTTAAACCAGATAGTATAACCCCAAACTGAAGTGAAGGTATAAGTAATAGTAGGATTCGTGTGATTAGAACTTATGCATGCTTTAGCTTGTAAGAATAGAAATATAACCGAATGTAAATTAGTAAGATGGTGTTTGTGTATTTAACAATAGGTTGGTACTGAATGACCGAACGGAAAAAGGGAATACAGATAATAATGAGCTTAATACATTAAATATATATTTGGTAGTTTCCGTACAAATATGCTTAAACGATAGTGAAATGAGCCGAACGTTTGTGCGTTTTGGCGCGAATGGAGATTTTAACGAAAAGCATGTATTCGTGTAAATACGTTTACGTTTTTAGGCCCGAACGGCGGGGAATAGCGAACGCTAATGCCCACGCCTTGCTTACGTGAACGTGCCGGTCTCGTGACCGGAAGTCGGGTACCTTGACCGGGGAAAAACCGAGTGGAAGGACCTCGAACGGACGGAGGATTGAACAGGACGTCTGACTGCTGGAAACAGGTACAGTTCTGGCGGGAAGCTGGACCGGAAGTGCTGGTTGCTAAGGACAATCAGCTGAGCGGCAGTGGTGAGTAGGGGCTGGGAGTTTAAGTAGGGGACTTACTCCTCCCACAAATTCAGGCCTAATGGCCTTTCTATATATATATATATATATAGACAGGAATAAGAGATGCACTCTCAGGACTTATACAATAAATCTATAGGTATTTATTAAAATAAAGGTTACATCATCTGATCGACGTTTCAACCCTCGAGGGTCGAAACGTCGATCAGATGATGTAACCTTTGTTTTAATAAATACCTATAGATTTATTGTATAAGTCCTGAGAGTGCATCTCTTATTCCTGTCTGTATAATCCATAATGTGGTATTGCACCAAGGCATTAAGAGACACATATTGAATTGGAGATAGGGTGAGTGCCAAGCTATCTATTTTTTGTGTATTTATATATATACATATATATATACATATATAGATATTTTACTCAATCATCTGGGGTGGCAAGACATGCAACAAGATATGGCGCAATGACTTATGGGGCTGGCATATATTTTTTTTTCCAGGGCTGCTTTTATCCCCAGTCCGGCCCTGCAAACCGGTCATGCTGGAGGATGTTGCAGGCAGCAGAACATTCTCCACAGCATCTCCAGACTCTGTCACGTCTGTCACATGTGCTCAGTGTGAACCTGCTTTCATCTGTGAAGAGCACAGGGTGCCAGTGGCGAATTTGCCAATCTTGGTGTTCTCTGGCAAATGCTAAACGTTTTGCACGGAGTTGGGCTGTAAGCACAACCCCCACCTGTGGATGTTGGGCCCTCATACCACAATCATAGAGTCTCTGTCTCAGTTTCTGACCGTTTGAGCAGACACATGTACATTTGTGGCCTGCTGGAGATCATTTTGCAGTGCTCTGGCAGTGCTCCTCCTGTTCCTCCTTGCACAAAGGCTGAGGTAGCAGTCCTGCTGCTAGGTTGTTGCCCTCCTACAGTCTCCTCCACATCTCCTGATGTACTGGCCTGCCTCCTGGTAGTGCCTCCATGCTCTGGACACTACGGTGACAGACACAGCAAACCTTCTTGCCACAGCTCGCATTGATGTGCCATCCTGGATGAGCTGCACTACCTGAGCCACTTGTGTGGGTTGTAGACTCCGTCCCATGCTACCACTAGAGTGAAAGCACCGCCAGCATTCAAAAGTGACCAAAACGTCAGCAAGGAAGCATAGGAACTAAGAAGTGGTCTGTGGTCACCACCTGCAGAACCACTCCTTTATTAGGGTTATCTTGCTAATTGCCTATAATTTCCACATGTTATCTATCCCATTTGCACAACAACATGTGCAATTGATTGTCACCCAGTGTTGCTTCCTAAGTGGACAGTTTGATTACACAGCAGTGTGATTGACGTGGAGTTACATTGTGTTGTTTAAGTGTTCCCTTTATTTTTTTGAGCAGTGCATATATAAATAGGTAGCTTGGCACTCACCCTTACTGTCCTTATTAAAATAGAAATTACTGCCCTGGTGCAATCCCACGTTGAGAATATCCAAATATTTAGATAAGAGACACACTCTGCGGTCTTTGTTCAAATGAAGTGGTATTTTAATCCATGTATAAGTTTAGAGTGAGTGCAAGACCTCAGAGTGCAGCTCTTTTCTAAAAAAATAAATAAAATATATATATATATATATATATATATATATATATATATATAAAATGTCTTGATGGAGAGCACTCACAGGACTCCAGAATATTTCAAAAGTGCTTTTTATTTCAGCAATCAATGTTCAAATACAAAGTGTCGACGTTTCAGTCCAGCCAGACTGTTATCAAGACAATTTAACAGTGTTATACAACTCATTTAAATGCAGTGCTCAAACATTCATTGGAGGGTGTTAAGGATGAAAACGAGTGATGTCATTAATGACAGATCTCATTTGTGTAATTAATCCCCTAATTCCACAGAAGTGAGTAAATAGGTGTTCAGAGGTGATTAAGAAAACTAACTTCTAAAACAAATATATAAATATATACAAATATTGACACAATATAAAGACGTTTTTAGTGATATAGTCAGGACTAGTGATGTCCCAAACGGTTCACGAACGGTTCGCCGCGGACTCATCATTGAGTAAACTTTGACCCTGTACCTCACAGTCAGCAGACACATTCCAGCCAATCAGCAGCAGACCCTCCCTCCCAGACTCTCCCACCTCCTGGAGAGCATCCATTTTACATTCATTGTGAAGCTGCATTCTTAGTGAGCTGTCCAGGAGGTGCCGTTTATAAAGATAGCATACAAACATAGGAATATAGCACAGTGATTATATTTTATACAAGCAAGGTCTAAATTTGTTAAATTTCTAGCATAGTAAAGAGAAGCCACATTTGTAGCAAAATAACGAGAAAGTTAATAATCCCCCTTATTCATGTAGCATTATATGAACCTAGTATAAATAGTGAACCACTTATTATAACTATATTGGAAAAATTTTAATTTATACAAGGGCCGGAGATATATATATATATATATATATATATATATAGATATATATATATATATATATATATATATAGAGAGAGAGAGAGAGAGAGAAAGTCAATATAGAAGGAGCACTCACAGGTCTTCATATGAATATTGATTTATTCCAAGTTACATGTGCAATCAACGTTTCGACCCTCACAGGGTCTTCTTCAAGATCAAATAACCAGTGAAACAGGTAAGTATATATACACAAACAAATATACATTAATAACTTACCAACAGGTGTGTGGGAAAACAAAAAAACGCCAAATATCCGAAAACCGGAAACCGGAAGTATCTCCCGTGATCATGTGATCCTCTATACATCATCTATCATAAAGTGACCAAGCTGCCTACTATGTATCCACCTATACACTATGTGAATACATGAAAACGCCGGGCATCCAAAAGCCGACTCTTAAATTTGTGGCCATCGATCACGTCCCTCCGTTACCCCGAGGTGGTAACCGGTCCAAACTTCTGCTTCAAAGAGAAGCGTATTGGATTTTCAAATTGGACACTGTCACACCTAAAGGATTAAATGAATATAATACATTTTCTATGTTTTTGTAAAGTACACTGTAAGTCTTGGCAAGTATGTGCACTAGTGAGTGGACCATAGTAATATTATATATGAGATCATCTCTTAGATATGGATTTTTGGTAATATAAGGTGTGTAACTTTAAGTAAGATGCACTGAGACAACTAGGTAGATATTGTGATTGAACATGCATATCAGATTATTTATGTTTATTTATGTTTGTGGTGAGCTTAGTTCAGTGTTAGCAATTATGGATTTTGAAAAAACAGCTCTATTTGGCTTTAAAGTATAGATGTTGGACATGGGATACGACATCCTGTGTTCTGTTGGATAAATTGATATATATTTTGAATTTTCATCTTTATATTAATGAGTAGTGACTAACATATTAATGATTAAGATCCTCCTGTGGATAGAGATACTTATACATATGTACATATAGAGGTACATTTGCACATCTGTATATATGTATACTTTTTTTAATTTTATTTTTATTATTTATTTTATTTACTTTATAGTATTATGGTGTATGTTTTTGGTTGTTATGTTTATATCACAGATGACACACATTTTCATATCGCCAGTTTGTATACATAGGCAGCGTTGCAGGTTGCCGGGCAACCTGATCACGTGATCGCAAGGGCACTTCCGGGTTTCGGAGGCCCGTCGGACTTACGTAGCTACACACAGGGATAGGATTGCAGGTTGCTTGGCAACCAGACCATGTGACCGTCAGGCACTTCCGGCTTTTGGATGCCCGGCGTTTTCATGTATTCACATAGTGTATAGGTGGATACATAGTAGGCAGCTTGGTCACTTTATGATAGATGATGTATAGAGGATCACATGATCACGGGAGATACTTCCGGTTTCCGGTTTTCGGATATTTGGCGGTTTTTTGTTTTCCCACACACCTGTTGGTAAGTTATTAATGTATATTTGTTTGTGTATATATACTTACCTGTTTCACTGGTTATTTGATCTTGAAGAAGACCCTGTGAGGGTTGAAACGTCGATTGCACATGTAACTTGGAATAAATCAATATTCATATGAAGACCTGTGAGTGCTCCTTCTATATTGACTTTCTCTATATTTGAACGCTGAGGATTGCACCCAGGCAGTGTTGCAACTGTTGTTGGAAATATTAAGGGTGAGTGCCAAGAATTCTCTTCTTATGTATATATATATATATATATATATATATATATATATATATATATATATATTGTGATAAAGTGAAGGCAGATAGGCCTATAACATTTAACCCCAGGGGGAGTATGTGTAGGATGTGTTGTAGGCAACACAAAACACTGTTTAGTTATGGGCCCCTGGGGTGGAGCATTTGGAGAGAAGGGTGGGCCAATGCTCCACTCCACAGTTTAGTGGTTTTCTGGGGAGACATGGATCCAGGCCAGGGTTTTTTGGATCGTCTCCAACCCACTGCTCAGCTGCAGTTAATGAGCTGTTGCAGTGGGAATAAACTCCTCCCTGCTAGGCAGGTAAAGGAGAGGGATTGCTGGCTTCCTCCTAGGAAGCAGGTAGGAGAGAGGCTGTTCTCTCCATATAGAGAGTCAAGGAAAGCAGTCAGGGCAAGGCTGGCTTGGAGCACTGGGAGTGCAGAAAGGAAAGCAGTCAGGGCAAGGCTGGCTTGGAGCACTAGGAGTGCAGAAAGGAAAGCAGTCAGGACAAGGCTGGCTTGGAGCACTGGGAGTGCAGAAAGGAAAGCAGTCAGGGCAAGGCTGGCTTGGAGCACTGGGAGTGCAGAAAGGAAAGCAGTCAGGGCAAGGCTGGCTTGGAGCACTGGGAGTGCAGAAAGGAAAGCAACAGGCTAGCTAGCAGAGTGTTGCTAGCTAATAAGGTTGGTGCAATATTGTTTTGTTTAGTTTAACCCTGAGAGATAGGGAACCTAATGTCAGTTAGTGCTCAGACGAGCTAGGTTTTTGTTTATAGGGTTTTGTGTTACATTTATGTTTTAATTTACTACTGTATCCTGTGTGGATTTGCAAATAAAGTGACTGAATTATATACAATTGCAAGGACTGTGCATGTTTTTGCCCTAGAGGACCGTGCTACCTGCTGACAAGGATCACAATATATATTATATATAAAGTAACAATCAATAAAAGGCTGCGCCATGTAAAATCAATAAATAAAAAGTTGGATAAAAACCAAAATAAGAAGTCCAAATTGTGAGTCCTTACAGATAGTCTTTATGGAAGGCTGGTAGGATGGTTGGTCCTTCAAATACAATGGTGGGTCCTCTTATATGAAAGAGAGAAAAGATGGACAACCAATGGTGCAGTATATCAAATCCAAATATGACGTAATGAGAGATAATAATGGAAAACTCACATTTACAAGAGCTTTTGTCCAGCTCTGAGATAAGGCGCACACAGCGGTATAATCCCTGCTTATGGGATATATATGGTGGGATATCTCTCCGTCAGGGATGATCAATTCTCGGAAGGAAGAAGAGACAACCAATAGTGCTCACTGTATAGTGGTGATGGTATAAATTAAATTAAAACCGTACTTACAAATAAAGAGCAGACGGACTGATGATGACAGCGTAAGTGGATTGATCCCCACTTAAGGATTTCTTGGGGTACTGGAGTCTTCCAATTTGTTGGTGCAAACCAATAAACGGTTAAAAATTATGATAAAATTATACAGTAAAATAACTATAAATAAAAATAATTAAAATAATTAAAAAGCCAGGGTTAAAAATCAATGGCGAAAATGGCGGCCATATTGGGAAGGGAAGAGGAGTGTAGTAGCAGCAGCCATATTAGGAATGGCAAATGCTAGTTTATAATAAATAGGAAGGGGATGGGTTTAGGATATAGTAGTGATTCGGCCATATTGGGAAGGGAAGAGGAGTGTAGTAGCAGCCATATTGGGAATGGCAAATGCTAGTTTATAATAAATAGAACAGTATTGTACTTGAATAATATAATTCAAACATTTAAATAGTACAATAGCAATAAAATAATGATATATAGTAACTTTGAACAGTAAAAACAATGAAATAAAAAACACTGAGAATGGCAGGAAATAAAACAATAAGAATGGAAATGGAGTGATAATAAAAATAACTATAAGCAATAGAAACAGTTGGATAATAGCAATAGGTTAATACAATAGCAGGGATAAAACCAAATAAAGGTATATACACAGAAAATCATAAAAAAATATGTAGGTCAAAATCTGCATTTAGACCGTGGGGTGTAAGGGTCTTAAGGTTATACACCCACTCCATTTCAGTTTTTCCAAGTACTTTTTTAATATCTCCTCCACGCCAAGAGGTAGAACATTTTTTTATGCCTATGCATTTAAGTAAATTTGGATCTTTGTTATGCATAATGAAATGTTTGGATACTATATGATTTAAGTATCCATTTTTTATATTTCTACAATGTTCGCTCAATCTTATCTTTAAGCACCTTGTGGTCATCCCCACATATTGGAGGCCACATGGGCATTCGCGCAGATACACGACATTCTTAGTATTACAGCAGATAAAAATCATAAATGTTATATACCTTTTTAGTTATATTAGACCTAAATTGGGTAGTCTTGGATAAAACGGAAGAATCTGTCGTTCTACACACTATACATTGTTTGCATTTATAAAAACCTTTTGTCTGAGGAAAAAAAGAGAAGTTCTTAGTAGGGGATTCTTTAGTAAAATTGGTGGTAAGAATAGATTTAAAACTAGGAGCTCCTCTAAAAACAATATTTGGGTGGGTGGGTAGAATTGGGTCAAGTATCCCATCATGTTTAAAGTATATGCCAATGCTTTCTTATTATTCTTTTTACGTCATTGCTTTTATTGTTAAAATTAAAAATCACAGGAAGAGATATTGCTTCATTTTGTTCTTTATTTTTGTAGGTTAGAAGATCATTTTGTTCTTTTTGTTGCACTATATTGATTGTATTAATTAGATCTGGTTCTGAATAATTTTTTTTCTATAAATTTTATTTTTTTTAATTTCCGCTTGTTGGTTAAAATCTGTAATTTTTTAACAATTTCTGCGGAGTCGTAGAAATTGACTCTTAGGAGCACTCTCTAGCCAGGGCTTATAATGGCAGCTAGATTTGTCAATTGCTGTATTTACACAGACTTTTTAAAAAAAAAAGTTTTTGTTTGGAGTTGGCCTTTATCAATAAAAATATTAAGATCTAAAAAATTGATGGATTCCCTGCTATACTCGTGTGTGAGGATAATACCTCTTTTATTGGTATTCAAATTATTAATGAAGGCAATAAGGTTTTCTTCTGTACCTTCCCAAATAAAAAACAAATCATCTATATATCTAAAATATGACACTAGGTTTGCTCGCCATGCGTGGTTACTCCAGATGGCTTCTGTTTCCCAATCTGCCATAAATAGATTAGCATAGCTAGGAGCAAACCTAGTGCCCATAGCAGTACCCCTCTTACCAGTACCCCTATATATATATATATATATATATAAAAGATAGCAGTACTGTATATTAGAAAAGAACTGACTCACAGGTTGTACCTGATAGACCTACTTAAATCTTTTTCTTTATTCTTTCTGTTGCATAGAAGTATAAGTTTATTACTCTATTTGATTGTAAATTATTTCACATGGGATCTGTGTGCATGGTATGATTGTTACTTTAATACCATAAGCCCACTACAGTTTCTATGAGAGTGGGATAGAGTAAATGTGTTGCATTGTTTGCATGATGAGCTCCGTATTTTTATACTGAGACAAAAAGTCACTTCATTAGTATTTGAAAGTTAATTCCCTGTATGGGATTAATTGTATAAAACACCATTCCGCACATGTTCCCTACCCTGTGTGTTTGTTTCAAAGGATCCATACTGTAAATATGATTTTTGTTTGTAAATGAGAGCAACATTTACATTTTCAGCGGTCCAACACATGCTTCATTTTGTGCTGTAAGCTAATCTTTTCTTTGCTACAGGTACTTTAAATGATCCAAATGTATGTGTTCTTTTAAATTGTTAAATTCTATAAAATTGTTGTACATGGATGCTGAGATTTTTATTATGTAGACTCCCTGTGTGTTGGGTTTAAGGTTTTGGTAAGGTATGTAGTCTGGATGAGAAAATCATGGACAAAGGTTTCTACATGTGTTACTAAGGCTCTTGGAGACTGACCGGTCAAAGGTTTGCCATGCCTTTTAACATGGTAAAGTATAAATTTTGTTTAAGTCTCTGAGAGTTCTGAAAGATTTGGGTGAAACCATGTCTGTGTAATCTGGTCCAGATGTTTGCAAAATTTCAATAAGATTTAAAGGACCACTATAGTGCCAGGAAAACATACTCGTTTTCCTGGCACTATAGTGCCCTGAGGGTGCCCCCACCCTCAGGGACCCCCTCCCGCTGGGCTCTGGAAAGGGGAAAGGGGTAAAAACTTACCTTTTTCCAGCGCTGGGCGGGGAGCTCTCTGCCTCCTCTCCTCCACCGATCCTCCTCCTGGGCTGAATGCGCACGCGCGGCAAGAGCTGCGCGCACATTCAGCCCGTCGCATAGGAAAGCATTTACAATGCTTTCCTATGGACGCTTGCGTGCTCTCACTGTGAAAATTACAGTGAGAAGCACGCAAGCGCCTCTAGTGGCTGTTAATGAGACAGCCACTAGAGGATTAGGGGGAAGGCTTAACCCATTCATAAACATAGCAGTTTCTCTGAAACTGCTATGTTTATAAAAAAATGGGTTAACCCTAGAAGGACCTGGCACCCAGACCACTTCATTAAGCTGAAGTGGTCTGGGTGCCTAGAGTGGTCCTTTAAGTTGATGTAGCATCATCTCAGTTTAGTTAATACAAGTTTCATACAAATATCTGAGTTATGAGCACGCTATATAAATGGATCCTTTCTTTATATACAATACTATAGTAGATTAAAGTAATGAAGTTAATTAAGAAAAAAAAAAAACATATATACATAAGAATCCCTAAAATATATCAAACTAAAATTGGTATACCTTACAATGATATGTTCTGAATATGGCTGTTAACTGTATATTCTGTGTAAATGGTGACTGTGATAATGTGTATTTTGGATACTCATTATGAAGTGTGCAGCTTAACTGGAGAGTGGATTGATTTATATGTTGCTGTGTTGTTTTAAATTATATTTGAATCAGTTTGTGTCAGTCTAGTGATACTGATAAAAATGCCAGCCAAATAACCTATCAAATAATTGTTTTATTGGCTGTTGAATACTAGCGTCTTGGCCAAGAGTAGTTGGAGTAGTTCTATCAGCTCAGAGAGGCTCTGTGTTTTTGTAGTTAAAGGAACACTATAGTCACCTAAATTACTTTAGCTAAATAAAGCAGTTTTAACCCCTTAAGGACCGAGGACGGTTCAGGACCGTCATCTGCATTTTTGCGTTGCCGACCGATGACGGTCCTGAACCGTCCAAACGGTCTGGGGCTACTTACCTGATCGCCGTCGTTCCCCCGGCGGCGATCAGTGTTCCTCCGGTTGTGGGGAGACTGCCTGCAGCCCAGACAGTCTCCCCACGGCAGATTATGACCCCTGTGGCCATGTGATCGCTTAACACAGCGATCACATGGTCACAATAGGTGTCCATAGTGCTGCCTGCAGGGGGACTGTCTGTACTGACAGGCAGTCTCCCTGCAACTGTAAAATCAGAAAAAAAATTAAAGTTAATGGTAATAAAAAAAATAATAATAATTATATATGTATAAATATGATATATAGACATATATATATAGTTATTATATATCTATATAATATATGTCTATATATCATATATATATATATATATAATGTCATACTAAGTGTATTTTTATATTAATATGTACTTATATTAATATAAAATACACTTATAATTAAATTACACACGTATATATATAATATATATAATAACTATATATATTGTATATATATATTATTATAAAATATAAATAATAAGTAATTTAAATTAAATATTTTTTTTAAATAATAAAAAAATTTAAAAAAATTATATATCTATATGAAATTTTATTCTAACTGTATTTTAAAATTAATATATATATATATTTATATCAAAATACACTTAGAATGAATTTGTATATATATCTATGTATATAAAAATAAATAAAAATAATAAGAAATATACATACGTCCATATACAAAATTACATAAATAATTATATGAATATACACGTAGACTTCAAATATATAAATATGCATATATATTTAAATTCTACGTGCGTATTTATGTAATATTTTTACATAATTCAGTAATTTTATTGATTGCAATTTGAGGGACCTGCTTGCCAACCCAGGCCGAAATTCCAGAGAATTTAATTTGCTAGCATTGTATTTTACCCTGTAATGTTCTACGACACCCTAAAACCTGTACATGGGGGGTACTGTTTTACTCGGGAGACTTCGCTGAACACAAATATTAGTGATTCAAAACAGTAAAACATATCACAGCGATGATATTGTCAGTGAAAGTGACTTTTTTTGCATTTTCACACACAAACAGCACTTTTTACTGATGATATAATTGTTATGATACGTTTTCCAGTTTTTAAACACTAATATTTGTGTTCAGCGATGTCTCCTGAGTAAAACAGTACCCCCCATGTACAGGTTTTATAGCATTTTTGAAAGTTACAAGGTCAAATATATGGGTCAAATATTTTTACATTGAAAATGGCCAGGTTGGTTACGCTGCCTTTGAGAGCGTATGGTAGCCCAGGAATGAGAATTACCCCCATGATGGCATACCATTTGCAAAAGAAGACAACCCAAGGTATTGTAAATGGGGTATGTCCAGTCTTTTTTAGTAACCACTTGGTCACAAACACTGGCCAAAATTAGCGTTCAATTTAGTTTTTTTACTTTTTCACACACAAACAAATATGAATGCTTACTTTGGCCAGTGTTTTCGACTAAGTGGCTACTAAAAAAGACTGGACATACCCCATATTGAATACCCTGGGTTGTCTACTTTAAAAAAAATATGTACATGTGGGGTGTTATTCAGAGATTTATGACAGA